AATTGGAGGCGATTTTCAGGTTTGTAAAGGGGGATAGTTGCTGGAGAGGCAAAAATTTCAGGATAGTTAAGTTTAGTAAAAGAATTGAGGTAAATTTAGTTAAAATTTTTTTAAAAGTATCTTCTAATTATATACTATAATATCCTGGATGAAGAAAGTAAACCAATATATAAATATTACTATCAAAACTTCTCTATCTTCTATTAATAACTTGTATACAATAATTTTTAAATGCATTTATTCAAAAGTCTGAAATTCTTTTAATAGAAGCTGCTAACCAAATAAATTGTACAAAGCAATCTCTAAATTTGAAATTATTAATTAAATAGAAGCTAAAACTTTAATTAAAGCAGAAAAAAGTATAATCCCCTTAAAATCTGTTTGATATTACAATTTGTAATTAATTCTGGATTTCATTTATAATCTATATTAATTTTAATAAAGGCTAGTTTAAATTTTAAAAATATTGACAAAATATAATATCTTACTTTAACAAATGTATATTTAAGTCAATTAACAAATAAAGTATATTTATATACAGAGGTCCATCTTGTATCAACAAATTTTTTTAATCCTCCTTTAGAGATTTTTAATTCATTAATTGCTTGTTGTAAATATGCATTTGGCTGATGTAATTTTTTGAAATATTTTATAATTTTATTGCAATCTTTTATAAGACATAAACCAAATGCATGCTCTAAATAAAAATTTATATTAATTCTATAATAATTAAATATACTATATACTTTAATACTTACTAAAAATATCTTTAGATATAAGATTAATACAATATGCAATACAATTTTGGTCATATTTTATAAACAATTTGGTGAGCAAGTTTCATGTTACTGGCATTATTAGTCACAATTACTACAAATTTATTATCACCAATTTCACTTATAATATTATTAACTTTGTTTGAAAAAAATTCCGAAGTATATGAATTTAAAGAAAAATCATATAATAAATATAAAAACTTATTATGCATTGGTGTTAAAATAATAAAACTATAGATTGAGCTTCCATTAGATAATGTCTATCTATCAAGTACTACAATAACAATAATTTAAGTATTAAATTATAAAATAACAATATTATTAACTAATGAAATTTAAAAAATTTATATTAAATAGCATAATTCAAATTATACTATTTAATATAGTATTATTAAATATATATATATATCTATAGTTAAATTTTTTGATTCTTAAAAAATAGCTCCTCACTTTACTATAATTTTAGAATGCTCTTGGTCTAATAATCAACCTGCTAATACTTCTCTTAATAGTGGTTGATAGTTTGAATATAAATTTTGAAGAAGGTCAATAAAAAATAGATTTTTAACTACAAAAAATAGAATACTACAAACTACAAAGGCATTTAATAATGAACTATTTATAGTATTTATTCATGCTTTAGATAAACCACCTCCTGATTGTAGAAAAAACTTTAAAATACTAGACTGCTAGTTTATTTTTTGTTTTTTTAAAACTGTTTGAATATCAGATACTGCTTCATTTTACTAATCACGATTAGATATACAAAGTAAATATATTTGCCAAACTTTATCATCTACATAAGCACATTCAAGTGCAAAATGAGTTTCAAGTTTTTGTAGCTCACCTCTTGCCTATTTAGATGCACAATACAACCATTTTGCTAAATAATATCTAGCTAAATTGGATTTTTTTTGTTCAAAAGACAACCAAACAGGTGATATACCTCATCCTCCAGAACTATTAGCATTTCTAGTATCTTTAGTATTTTCAGAACCGCTATACCTCTAATGTTTTTAGTGCTTTTAGGATTTTCTTCACTAGGTATATTTGTTTTGTATAATTTGGATATTGAAGAACTTATTGATTCTTGTCTTTCACTTTGGATTTTTGTTTACTACTTTGAGACATATTAAAATTTTTTTTGTCAAAAAGTAAAACAAATACATTGCGTGTAAAATGGATATATATATATATATATTTTACTGCACAAAGCATATATATTGCACAGTTAGATATATCTAGACTATCCTTAAATTAAATAAATAGCCAGAATTGGGTTAACCTATTATTTTAATGCCACTATCTTATTGTATAAAAAAAAATTTTAGATAATGTTAAGAAAATCTCTTTTGAGAAAATGTGTTATATAGTTGAGATAATTTTGATAAGTCAAATAAAAATTATTATTGTAAATATTATTTAAATACTCTAATAGTAATATCATTAATATAAGACAGAATTTGACTTTATATAACAACGTATAGTGGTATTAGTATAAGAAATTAAAATAAATTTCATTGTTGTATAATATTGAAGAATGAGTTTTTTTTATTTTATAATTCTTGCTGATTATTTTATTCAAGGTTATTTTAACCTATATAGTGTATTTTGAGAAAAAATCTTCACTTAATATTATTTAAACTTTTTTTTATATTGATTTAATTGTTACAACAGCAAGCCCAAAGGTATAGATAATATGACAACCAGTATACTGCCAAGTTCAAATATGTCAATTTATTATTGGCATTAAGTTTTACAAAAGAGCCTTCTATATATATTTAAATTTGCTCTTACATTATTCTTATTTAATAATAGTCACTTAAACTTTATTTGTATATAGTATTCATTGGCTATGCATTTGGATCAACCAAAAAAAAAACTGGTTAGTGTTTGCAAAATGGTGATGTGTATAACAATAATATATTGTTATACATATTGCTATTTTGCAGATATTAACCATTTTTTCTTCTATTATTAATCCAAATATATAGTCTCTATATGCCAGAATTAGGGTAAGGAGCATGGCAAAATATTTAGGTTTGCCCGGATATTTAACTAGAGGCATGCATCTTTTGCTTGAGCATGCCTTGTAACTGTTTAAAGTTAAACATTATAATATATATAGTCTTAATAGAAAAAATAGTATATAAATATAATAAGAACCTAAAAATAAATCAGTTTTTAATGATTCCTAAAAAATAAATATATACCCAATACTACATATATATTTTATATATAAAATTTATTATTCTGATAAGTTTCATCATGAGTTACATCATTTGTCATAAGTTATGTTATTTGTTACAAGTTACATTATTTGTTATTTGTCAATTCAAAGTTCCCTGACAAAATGTTTTATCATTTGTCAGTAATGTAAGTTATGTCATTCGTCAGGCATTATTAGCTTATATAGTATCTTGCTTAACTCTGAGCAAAAGTTTCTTTAGAAATTTTAAATTTCAATTTGTTTGATTGCCTATCGCAGGTCAATCAAACTCATATTTTATATTTTTTAAAATTTCATTAATCTGAATCTGGATCTGGATTTGCGTGATATGGGTTTAGACCCTAAGTTTAAGATCTGAATTATATTTTGACCGGATATAAATCTTTAAAAATACCTGGCCAGTCCGAATTATGTGATACACTATTCTATAGTAAATGAATATTAGGTAATAAATATTATAGCCCTAATTAAAGACATTATATTTAATTGAAAAATTTTTTATTATTTTTATTTTACTTTATTTAAATAGTATTATATTTTTTAAAGTTATATTTAAGAAAACTATACTATTTAATTAAAAGTTAAAAATTACAGATTACAATGTTTTATATTTATAAAATCAATTTTGAACTTAATTTAAATATATTAAGTTTTATTTTATATTATTAAATATATATCATGTGATTAAAAACTCAAGTCTGTGTTTGGTATTAACTCAACTTCTGAAGTTGGATAAGTTTAAGTAGATTATTTAATATCTCTAATAACTATATGCTTTGTAAAATTTTCAACACATTTTGTAAAATTTTTAATATTGTATTTCATAAAACTTTCAATACTGTAGTTTATTAACTTTAGTAAATTTAATAGTGTATGATGTGTTTCTTATAAATTAGCTACATATTTAGATTTAAAAAAAATTATAAGATTCTTTGTATATATTTACTTATACTTTTTTTACAGTATCAGACCTGAAGACGGTAAGTCTGTCGTTAAATTGAAAGTAGGGTTGTGTAACCACACTCTAGATTACTTTGGGGTTGAAAGAGGTGTATTAGATTTGGATAAGTAGTTAATAAAGAAATGTATATAGTTGATAATTTATGTTTATATGTAAGTTTGACTTAGGCACTTTATTATTTAGTTAGTTAAAGCGGGTGTTGTTTTTCCCAAAAGGCCAACAGGCCTTTATTTTATAGTGAATAATCTATTTAGAAAATCTACCTATTCTACCAGAATCATCAATAATCCCAATTATGCCTTAATGACAGAAACACTAATAATCCCAATAATGCCCTTATTGACAGAATCTTATTAATCCCAGAATTGCTATTTCTGTCATTTCTGTCACTTCTTGCAGAAATGGAATTTCTGGCTAGAAACCCCAAATTTGGAAATCTCAGGTTACGCGTCCACATACCTGTGATCAGGTTATAGTTTCAGTCTCACAACGGCTAACACAGCTATAACAACTTGATAAAATAATTACAATATATTGATCAACACCGGCCCTTCCGACCGGAGTTCCGAAGCTTCCGACCCGGAATTTTGGGGATCTCCCTGTAGGAGTTCTTTTAAATCG